AGCATACTATTAATTCTCAAGTACAAATGAGCCTTTAGAAGTACACTCATCCTAATAATTCAGAAAACACTGTAACTGCTATCAAAAAGGGAATGGGTTTTACAATTCCAAAGACCTGCTATGGCCACAGCACTCAGGTATGCCATAAGGCAGAGGGTCACAAACTCTCACCCACCTACCATTTCTCAGACACCCATAAAAGCAGCAGCTTTGCCAGCTACAAATCATGAATTGTGGGTAAACACAGAAGTTGACCCAAATCTACAAAATTCAGATCCATCAGTTCCAGATCTACTGCTGAATTCAAGGACCCCTCTTTTTCAAAGACTTAACTAATATTTGACAAAGAACTTGGCTCCTAACAAATATAAGGACATAAAGAGCAGCTGCTCTGACTTCCCCAGTCCCCAGGTCAATGCTGACCCCGATTCAGCTGGCCCCCTAAAGTGAACCCCCCTTATCAAATCACTGTAATGTGAGAGGCTTGGGATCTCTCATTCCCACGCATCCCTAACGATCTGTCCTTCTGAGCCCTCTGCCATCTTGGCCTAATGCTTTATGTAGGATATAGTGTACACGCCACCAAATGTGCCCCGATTCTGCCTTGAGCATTCACAATAAAAAACATTCATAATGTTCTCACATCCAGCAAAATGCCCTATCTGAAGCACTCTGAGAGGGCAAGTCAGGTGGGGAGCCTATGGAAATCTTCAAGCATCCAGCTCCAGAGCAGTCCAGTCCCCCTCCAAGACTGCTCTGTTACCAAAGGCAACCTGAAAACTAATGGGTACCCAAGGGCGCTGCCAGGGGAGGGACTAGGCCAGGTCCAAAAGAATGTCTTCTTCGAAGGTTCTGGCATTCTTAGTGGGGGGACTCCAAGAAACGATGAATAGGCGGGGCTGAGGCTTCATTCCTTTGTCCTTAACAAACATTCCTGAGGCAGCAGGGGGCCGCCTGACACCCAGCTGGTGTACTTAATGTTTCCAAATGAATAGTATTCCCCAAATGCCTGTTGGGAATTCAAGCCACTAGGGTGAAGTTTATAAGTCAGCACCCTCTCCTCCCCCATTGAAGTTTTCTGTTGGCTGAACCGATGAGGAAAGAATATGCAAAACTAGCAGGACTGCAAATCTCCACTGTGTCTGCTTACACAGGCCCTGAGACAGGGTCCTGAAATACTAGCAAGTCTCTGCAGGGTCTTAGAGTGGGGACATTATTCCTGCTTTCTCTGTAAAAAGAGCAAGGAAAAAAATAGGTTCTCAAGCATTTTTTACTAACAACAGGAAGATTTCGAGCTACATATGCTGCCATCGGTCAGCAGAGGTCTCGATGGTTTTCAAGCACGCACCTCAAATTCCATAAATATTAAGCTCCCTGGAAGTTAGTGTCCTTTAACTTTATACTAGACCCAGAGAAAAGTCAGACCTTACCCAGGCCACTCAGCATGACTATAAAATGCAGTACTGGGGAGTCCCACTTGATATTTCCTTTTTCTGGCTATGAAAATGCAGATGAAGCAAGTATCTGTTTGCCTTTTACTATGTAAATAACTCCTTTCTCAGGACCAATACTTGGAAAGAAAACAGCCCTCCACACAAACAGTGGAAATGCCAGGGGCCTCCAAACACACCACCCTCAAGGCCAGGGTTGGCAAAAAGAATTAAATAAACACAAAGACACTTTAAGAGCAAAGGTGACACACCATTAACTCAACAAAGTGATTCACAACTGGGTTAACGTAAAGCAACATCTGGGGATATATCTGGTTGTCACACCTGTGGACAGATAACCAATGGTATCTAGCAAGTAGAGGCCAGGGAATCTGGGGAACAGTCCCCACAACAGAGAATCATTCAACACAAAATGTCAACAGTGCCAAGGTTGAAAATTTGTCACCTAATGAATGTCACCAAGTTATTCAACATGACATTGCCAAGAAATTCCAGATGCAAGTAGATAGCACTGATTGGAGGAGAAGGAGGGATGAAGATTCAGGGTCCTTCCCAGGACTCCCCAGGTTTGTGATTTCAGTATACACCATTTAATCTCTCTTGGCCACAGCTGTTTCAACTATTAAAATAGGCTAATGAAACTCCTCCATCTGAAGGTTAGTACTGAACCAGCCTTGTTCTTAACATCCCTTCCAGTCTCTTGCTCTCTGTGCTGCTGGGGATATACCCAGGACCTTGCACATACTAGGCAAGAGCTCCACCCCCAGCTCCTTCCAGTTCTAAAATGTACACTCCTGTGAGACTTTCGAATGACACCACTTTAATCATTAAAAAAAAAAAAAAAAAGTGTCCTCTTGCTGTTGGATCAAACTACTCTCAATTCAAAGCTGGCTAAATAGAAAATAAATTGTGCAAATCCCAAGGCTCCAATAAGTAACCATTTAATTACAAAGTATTTTTTAAGTGCAAAAGAACTATTTCAAGAATTATTGTTTAATGATTTCTGATGATTTTTTCAGTAGCCACTGGGAAGGGAAGATTCAAAATCTGGATTAATTCAAATTCTGGTGGTAGAATAATTTTCCCTAGTCTCCAACACAACAGTTTGCTTTCACCGTTTAAGTGGCCATAAATGGACACATTTTCCTTCTCCCTTTTAAATAATGTGACAGTTAATTACCAGCTCTCAGGCTATATGCAAACATCACCAGTGATCTTAACACAGGAGAAAAACACGTAGGTGAAATATTGCTGATACTATGCAATAGAACACGCGGCTAATATATATGCATGCACAAGTTAGGGTTCAACAGCACATATCTATTTACATATATATATATATATATATGTGTGTGTGTGTGTGTGTGTGTGTGTGTGTGTGCAGGGAAATAAGGGACAAATGCCCTCAGATTTTCTGAATCCCCTCCATTCTAAGCAACAAAACCACATTGGAGCATGTGTAAAAGTTAAGTAGGGCTGGAAATACAGATCAGTAGTAGAGTGCTTAGCATTACTGGGCTTGACCAGCAACATCTTTCAATTTCTAGAAATAGGAAGAACCAGGGGGCCACTAAGAATGCAGAGTTTTTAGAACTTGGAGTACCTGTACAAAAGAACAACTTCTGATGAAACTAGTGTATTTCAGAGTTGAAGTAACCTCCACCAACCTTCTTACACCATGCAGGGCCAAAACACAAGACTTCATGTCAAATAATATTTTATAAATTATTCCATCTGCTATAAAGATAGAATTTTTAAAAACATTTTTAAATTTAATATTTTTTTTGTACTGGGGATTGAACTCAGGGGTACTTGAACATTGAGCCACATCCCCACCCCTATTTTGTATTTTTATTTAGAGACAGGGTCTCACTGAGTTGCTTAGTGTCTCCATGCAGTTGCAGAGGCTGGCTTTGAACTTATGATTCTCCTGCCTCAGCCTCCCAAGCTGCTTGGGATTACAGGCCTGTGCCACCGTGCCTGGCTACATTGTTTTAAGAAAAGAAGTACATGAAATGCTAAAGATCTGTGTTATTTACCTGACATCTTTTCAATTGCTGCCATCAGAAATGGTCTTTAAGGGCTGGGGATATAGATCAGTTGGTAGAGTGCTTGACTCTCATGGGTTCAATCCATTTAAAAAAGGAAGAAAGAAAAAAAAGAAAGAAATGGCCTCTAAAACCTTGTTTTAAAGGCACAAGCTAATGTACTTTAAGAAATATTCAGAAGCATGTCCTGGATGGGCAGGGTAAACACTCTATGACTGCCCACTGATTTTTCAAAGATTCCAATTTGATAAAGGATCACATCCTTAAATTTATAACAATGACAACCTCTTTCCTGAGGACACTGTCTTTCCTGAATTCAACATAAATTCAGTGTACAGTTATGCAAGTATCCCCTTCAAGTCTCCAGTTTTATAAATGTAAGAGAGGACCTGGGGTTGTAGCTCTGTTGTGGAATACTCATCGAGTGGGCAAAGACCTACAGGTTCAACCCCCAGTCCGAGGAGAGACAGGAAGAGAGAAAATACAGAATAGAGAAATCTGGCATTTCATTTGCTGTTTGGACCACAAAGCCATCTCATTTCCCTAATTCACTACCGGTGGGGTGGGTTAGGAGTCACTTAATTTCTTCCTGCTGTGGTGAGGGAGAAAAGCAGAGAAAAACAGTAAGTCACCTTCAAAAGCTTCTAGTAGCCAGGAATATTTACATTTTAAAGGGGACTTTGTCCCTAACACCCTAACAATGGCTGAGCTCAACGCTTTTCAAAGAAACTGACCACTAGACACTTTCAACTAGCAGAAAACAGACTGGTTTGCTGTTTGTTTCTACAGGTTTATCCAGATTTGGATGGTAAGTTTCAAGATGAATTTTGTTTTGAGATAAGAGAGTTCCAGTTCTAAAGCAACCCTTCCCCAATACATGCATATTCCAGTTGACGCAAATTAGTACTTTCTTCAAGTCCTACTTTCATAAGCACAATGAAAAGTTTCTGTAAGTTTCTGCAGGTATCTAGTGCGCATGGATATAGGTCTGGAAGCTGAAAGTCAGTAAATATTGATGCGCTGATGGAAATCGAGAAGCTGGGCAGGCGGCAGCTGCCAGTCTGGGTTTCATAGTGATAACGGGTACAGAACTAGTGACCCTAGAGAAGCAAACAGGTGGGGACGATTCTGTCTACCCCCTGGCTCCTAGGAATGTTCCTCCTCTCACCTCCGGACCGCCCCGCAGGTAGAAGTCGCCCTCTGGAAGACCAGGAGTCAGAGGGGACTCTACCAGGCCCTTTCCCGGAGGGGGAGGGGAAAGGGATCCGGAACGGGAGCCATTTAAACTCAGTTCGGCGCCTGAAATCTCCTGAGAGCGGCCGCGGTGAAGCCGGAACCACACACCTTTGTCAGCCTCGGTGCCCAGGTCTCTGCCGCTGACTCGAGCAGTCGCACGCCTCGGAACAGAGGGCTGCTCCCTCCGGTACTCCCTACCCCGGACAATACTAAGCGTCGCGGCCACTTCGGGACTGTCACCGCGCGGGCCCCGCGGCTGCCTTACCTTGGTGATGACCAGCGGCTCGCCATGCTCGCGGCCGCCCTTCAGGGTGAAGCCCCACGGCGCGCCGCCGCTAAGCTGCACCTCCACCAGCCGCCCGCCGTCGGCAGCCCGCGCCTCGGCCTCCGCCAGGCGCTCGGGCCGCGCACGGGGCTCGGCGCCCTCCATGGCGCTGGGCGCGGGGTGCTCAGCCCCCCGGGCCAGCTCGGCCCGCGCCCATGCACTCTGAGGAGCCCCAGCCGGCCAGAGACAAGGGAAGCTCCGGGTGCCCTCGCCGCAGACGGCCACTAGCGAACTGGCGCTGCAACTTGGGAGGAAAGTGCCGGCCGGCCCCGGAGGGAGCCGGGAGGGCAGGCGCGCGGCGCGCGGGGGAGGGGTGGGCGGGGAGGGGGCGGGAGGGGCGGGGCAGGCGCTCGCTGTAGCTCGAGCCTCACGGCCGGGGCCGGGGGCGGGGCGCGCGCGCTCGGGGGCGCCAGCCCGGGGCCCGGGGGGTAGGAGGGGGCGGGGTCAGGGGCGCGCTCCGGGCCCAAGCGAGCGAGGCGCACCGGGCAGGAGCTCGCGCCCACGGGCTTCGGTCCTACGCGCCCGCGTAGGTTCTTGTTGGAAGGGGCGCGCTCAGGGAATTGGCCGGGCAGAAGTAAGGCGATCATGCTCTGGGCCAGCGCCGCCAGCAAGGACCTTGGCGGCCAGGGAGGCGGCCTGAGGTCCCGCCCTTCCTCCCGCGCGAGGGCTTGGCAGCGCTTGAAGGCTCGGGGCGGGTCAACCCGCCGCCCTGGACGCCGGGCCGCAGCAGGTGAGGCGGCGGAAGCGCCCGCTTGCTGCTGGGCGGGGCGCGGCGGCGGTGGCCAGAGCCCGGGTCCTTCCTTCTTAGAGCGCGCCTCCCTCCTGGCACCCCCGCCTTTGTTGCGGCTGGTCCCCGGAGGCCGCACAGGTGAGGGCGGAAGCATGGCAGGAGGCCCTCCTGCGTACCTGCGCTGTTTCTGTGCGGCCACTTCTTGGGTGCATTAGGACGGTCTGTACTTTCAGCCCTCAGTGTGCACGGACGCTCTCCTACCCCGGGTTGCAATACCCGAGAGATTCCCCACCCTGGGCGTATTGCGGGTCTCGCCTTAAAGCCTGGCCCACAGTGGGTGTCCTGAAAGCCTGGACTGGAGAAGGATTCTCGACCTGTTCCGGTGAAGGCCTTCCCAGCCTCCCACAAGTTCTCTCCTGTGGCGCCAGCCCGCATAATGAATGGCTTCTTGTGGGCTTTTCCTATTGTCATAGCTCAGGAAGTTTTTCTTTCAAACCTTGCTTTTTTTAATCTTTCATAGAATTGTTCCAGGAGTTCTTAATGTCTGTCCCCACGTTTACATCTTCTACAAAAGGGAAGTGGTGGTCTGGATTTAATGAAAATGTGTAGATAGCACTGCCCCTTTTCAGTTTCCATGAAATTCCAACCCACATTAAAAATATCTGTACTGATAGGTATTTGCATGCTTTGCAAAAGTTCTCTCTCTCTCTCTCTCTCTCTCTCTCTCTCTCTCTCTCTCTCCATTGCTATCTGTATATGTAGCTGGGCGCTGGTGAACACCTGTTTTCCTCAAACTGGCTCCATCAGGTGAAGATGCTGGGAGCTAATGGAAAAAACAGCTGGGAAACCACTGGACCAAGAGTTCGGCATCCCTGGGTCTTTGGGCTCCGCTACTGAAACCGGATTGAGGAATTATACCTCTGGTCTGAGTTTCTTCAAAGCTCATAGGAGGGATTTACACTCTGTGGTCTGCATTCTGTGACTGATCATTTCGTGTCTCATTCAGCCAATTGAATTAAAGCGTCCGATATACTCTTCTGTTGCCTGTTATGGCTCTTGCCACATGATTACTGTCCCATAAATAAATTCTACACTATGGTCTCTACAATGCCTCCAGTTTGAATAATGAGGTGATTTTTTTTTCTTTTTAAATGGAGAAAAACCCAAGTGTTGTTGGGTTTTTCTTTTATTTTTGTTGTGTGTGTGTGTGCATGCACGTGCTGCAAATTGAACCCAGGTCCTCACAGCATGCTGGGCAAGCTCTCTACCATTGAATTGTACACCCTCAGACTTCCAAGCATATCTTGGTTGTGACCGTGGTCACATGAATTTACATAAAACTAAATATGGGAAATCCAAATAAGCTTGGTGGATTGTTTTAATGTCAATATCCAACTGTGAAATATTTTGCCATAATTTTATAAGATGTTACCATTGGGAGAGGCAGGTGAAGGGTACATCAGATAGATATTGTATTATTTCTTCAAATTACATGTGAATCGACCAGTCAAAATGGCAGTTATTGAGAATACAAACAATAATAAGTGCTGGAGAGGAGGTGGACAAAAAGGCACAGTTTTACACTTGTTGGTGGGACTGTAAATTATTATAACCACTATGGAAATCAGTATGGAGGTTCCTCAAAAAACTAGGCATGGAACCACCAAATGACCCAGCTATACCACTCCTGGGTGTCTAGCCTAAAGAATTAAGCCCAGCAGGTGGCACATACTTGTAATTCCAGCAGCTTGGGAGGCTGAGGCAGGAAGATCATCACTTCAAAGCCAGCCTCAGCAATTTATCAAGACCTTGTCTCTAAATAAAATAAAGACTGGGGCTATGGCTCAGTGGTTAAGCACCCCTGGGTTCAAGCCCTGGTACCAACAAATAAATGAAATAAAGAATTAAAGACATCAGAGCAATACATGCATACCCATGTTTATAGCAGCACAATTCATAATAGCCAAACTATGGAACCAGCCTAGGTATCCATCAGCAGAAGAATGGATAAAGAAAATGTGGTCTACATACATATTGGAGTTTTATTCAGCTATAAAAAAAATGAAATTTTGTCATTTGTAGGAAAAGTAAATGGAACTTGGGACCATTACGTTAAGTGAAATAAACCAAAGTCAGAAGGTCAAGGGTTCTATATTTCTGTCTAATGTGGAAGCCAGAGAGGAATAAGGAAAAGAAAGTGTGAGCTGGGCACGGTAGCACACGCCTATAATCCCAGCAGCTTGGGAAGCTGAGGCAGGAGGATCAAGAGTTCAAAGCCAGTCTCAGCAACAGTGAGGCACTAAGCAACTGAGTCCCTATCTCTAAATAAAAATACAAAAAAAAGGGCTAGGGATGTGGCTCAGTGGTTGAGTGCCCCTGAATTCAATCCCCAGTACCCCCTTCCCACCAAAGAAGAAAAAAAGAAAATGTGTTCATGTGTGTGTGTGTGTGTGTGTGTGTGTGTGTGTGTGTGTGGAGGGTGGGGGGTGATCACATGAAAAGCAAAGGGAGATCAGAATTGAGGAAGGGGATCAGGAGTGGGAGATGGAGAGGGAGTGCTGGGCAGGGATATCAGCCAAATTACATTGTTACATCATATCCATATGTAACAAATCCAATGTGCACAGCTACAATGCACAAATAAAGAGTTACAGAAGTGGATAGATGGATGTGATAAAAGATAAAAGACAATGTTAGGGCTGGGGTTGTGACTCAGCAGTAGAGTGCTAGCCTAGCATATGTGAGGCACTGAGTTCAATCCTTAGCGCCACATAAAAATATATAAAGGTATTGTGTCCATCTACAATTCCAAAAAAAAAAAAGACAAATGTAAATGGCCTAGTGTGCTTATTGGAATCTACAGAAGGCTCCCTGTCCCTGTTGCTCTCCTTTCACCACCCCTACCCCCAAAACTGGTATTGACTTAAGTCTCAACTCTTACCTGCCACTGAAATCCAGACCATAGATACACTACATAGCAGAAACAGTGATTTTGTTGCTGCCTTAAATCCATCATTATTATATGCAGCCCCAAAGTCCTTTTTAACGTTTTATATTCACTATGTAATCCTCAGGTTACCCAACTGCCACTTGAAAGGCTCATACTTTTTCAATTTATTTCTTAAAACTTAGGTGCAAATTTATAGTCACTTTGTTAAACATCATTTTGCTGAAGGGTTTTGTTTTTTTTTTTAATTTCACATTAGGCATCCCTCCAGTTTAGCATTACTTCAATATTTATAAGGCTGCTGTCTATATTGACATTAATAAATATGCTAAAGGGACTGGACCAAGACTTATGTGACCTGCTATGAGACAGATACCCTCTCAAAATCATAAATCCTTTCTTTAGCATTCTTGAGGTTATGTTGTTGAGCATGTCTGTCCATGCTGTCAACACATCGAGATTTCTGTATCCTATTTATTACATCATCACCAACTACTGTCAAATATCTTGTGAAATTACTAACATCTTGTGACTGCAAGACATTACCCATACTTTATCAGCCTTGCATCCCCTTGGGAAGAGTTTAGTATGACATTAAACTAGTGTGGACTCCTGAGAACTCATGACTTGGATGGAATTTGCAGAGGTAGGATATGTTTGTCACGATCTGTCTTGACTCCTTTTGGAAAGCTGGAGACATACTTGGTCTCTGTTGCTTCTCTTTGAACTTTTAGCAAGCAGATAGTCTTGTGGGCCTGCAGAGAACACAACTCCAGAGGACCCATGTTGAAAAGTGCAATACCCACGGGTGTTTGTTCCACTTTTACAAATCTTGGAAAGGGAAGAGAGAGGGGAAACTGAAGGTACTTCTGCTTTGGCTTTGTCAACAGTGAATGAGTTAATAAATAAAAGTCAAACTAACCCACTTTCAAAGAATCAATAGCTAATCTTTATGAACTAGAGCTCAAATTATTTTGTTCTAAGAAGAAAAGAGACTTACACTCAAAATGTGTTATAGGATGAAGTTCTAAATTTTTACTTTTACCTTTCTAATTAGTGGATAAATCAGTTGGTAGGGTCAGACTTTCCATAAATCTTTTTCATGAGGTAATTTTAAGAAAATATTTTTATTAGTTATTGATGGGCCTTTATTTATTTATATGTGGTGCTGCAACTCAAACCCAGTGCCTCACATATGCTAGGCAAGCACTCTACCACTGAGCCACAACCCCAGCACCATGTGATAATTTTTAAAAGGTAAGGGGATAACAGTACAATTCACAATAGCCAAGTTATGGAACCAATCTAGGTACCATCAGCAGACAAATTGATAAAGAAAATGTGGTATGCATATACAATGGAGTTCCACTCAGCCATAAAGAAGAATGAAATTATGTCATTTGCTGGTCAATAAATGAAAGTGGAGAT